GTCACTACTGTAAACGTAACGTACGTACTAGTGTACCGTTACGTTCTTCCTACTTTAACTTTACTTAACGGTTACGGTCGTCCTTCTTCGTCACTTCTCGTATGTATCTCTCTCTCTCTCTCTCTCTCTCTCTCTCTCTCTCTCTCTCTCCAGGGTTTTGCTATTGGTTCAGCTGCTCTTGTCTCTCTGGCTCTCTTCGGCGCATTTGTTAGCAGGGCCGGCATCAAGGTTGTTGATGTGTTGTCACCAAAGGTTTTCATAGGGTTAATAGTGGGAGCAATGCTTCCCTATTGGTTTTCTGCCATGACGATGAAGAGTGTGGGAAGTGCAGCCTTAAAGATGGTGGAAGAAGTTAGGAGGCAATTCAATACCATCCCTGGCCTGATGGAAGGGCATGCAAAGCCTGACTATGCAACTTGTGTTAAGATATCAACTGATGCTTCTCTCAAAGAGATGATACCACCAGGTGCCCTTGTTATGCTCACCCCGTTGATTGCTGGCACTTTCTTTGGTGTCGAAACCCTTGCTGGAGTCCTTGCAGGTTCTCTTGTTTCGGGTGTGCAGGTGAATATATCATTTTAATCTTTGACAGTGGTGACAGTTTTCTGCCCCCTTTCGCTCTCTCTCTCATTTTCTTTGAGAACCATGTGCAAAACGCATTTTGGTGCTGTTGCTGATACTTGGCTATGGGGTGCATGCAGGTGGCTATATCGGCTTCCAACACTGGTGGTGCCTGGGATAATGCAAAGAAATACATTGAGGTAACCTTAATTCAGAGTTTCTCATGGGTAATTCTTTTCTATGTAAAAGGAAGTTTAAAACAAAGAGCAGAAAACTAATCATGGGTTCGTTTTTTATCTATCCAGGCCGGTGTTTCACAGCATGCTCAATCTTTGGGCCCAAAGGGTTCTGACCCTCACAAGGCAGCTGTAATCGGTGATACCATTGGAGACCCCCTTAAGGATACATCAGGCCCATCTCTCAACATTCTCATCAAGCTCATGGCTGTCGAGTCCCTCGTGTTCGCTCCCTTCTTTGCTACCCATGGAGGTCTTCTCTTCAAATTGCTGTGAAATTATTAGCTGCAAAGTCCCAACGGTTTATCTAACAAAAGAACATGGTAGGAAAACAAGAGATAAAAGCTAGCCATAATCTTGGCTGTAGTTTTGCCCTCATAAGATTATTTAGCCTTTGAAACCAGTGTATTTTGATTTATCATCTCGATCAGGTTGGGTCTAATCAACTCCTGCATAATCTTTCTGCTTTGTGTCTTCGGGCTCACATTTTGGTTTCTCTGTGATAATTATAGCTTTACCTTCTGTCTTTCATTTACAGTTTCTGATACAAATATGGTGTACATTTTACATAAAATCGGATATCTACTGGATAAAGCTAGGAAAAATATCATTGTAAAGGTCAACTATTTGAAATAGTCACTAGAGTGATCAAATCAACTAATTTGGAAAAAAAAAAAAAGTGCATTACCCAGTTCATTCAAGTGTGGGCTCCGAAAATCTACCTTTAAGATAAACTTTAGAACTAAAATTCAATCGGTATATAATCTTGTCTACAATAATTATGAATCCAAAAAATAACGTACAAATTTAAAAGTAGACAATTTTGAACTTCATTTTTGTGTTAGTTTTGGACTTTCATTTAAATTCTTCTAAAGTTACATATTTTTAAGCCTTTTGCTTTCTTAAGATTCATGTTCATGGTTATCAAGATTACCACCTTACGAAATTTTACATCCAAATCCAAAACTACAATGGATGTTTGGAAGGAGACCACAAAAATTGAGCACCCCAAAGCCTTTTCCTTTACTATAATTATAATGTTTGCAATTTCATTTCACTTGTGCCTCATATATGTCATGTTCACTGTGTGGAATCCTAACAAGCAATGCTATTTTAATCAGGGTGGGGTTTGAAGAAGGTGCCCACCTTATGTTATTTAAGATATTCATTTGTAATCGTGAAAATAGACGGTCCAAATAACTTGTTATAAAATGTATTAATTTTTAATTTTTGGACTTATTTATTATTTATTTATTTATTTGTATTTCAATGGAAAAAGGATCTCTTACCCGTAGTAGGAATAGAACTTACCCGTAATAGGAATAGAACTCAAGAGTTAAGACATCATGTTATGGTGTCCCATCATCCTGACCACTTAGACTTAAGCCCATTCTTACTATATTTAAAACTTAAAAATCCGTTTTTTTTTATATCCATACATCTCCAGATCAAGATAATCTATTAAAAAATTTCATCTCTGGGCACTCTTTTCTATTGGATTTTTAAAATGCACATTGCTTCTCTATAAAATTGCAACCTTATATGCCCCATGATATAAGTGAAAAGTTAACAAAGCTGCTTGTTTAATCCTACAACAGGGTTTAGGCGTACTTTTAGGCCTGTGGGCTATGGGGTGGACTTGGACCAGGCATACTAGGCCCAATAAATTTTGTGCCCTGGATACCCCTAGACCCTCCAAGCCCGAGTTGAAAATTCATCGGACTATAGTCGTTCAACTATAATCTATAGTTTTATCCAATACTACGGTCTATAGTTTATAGACTACTCTTTATAATCCTATACTAAAGACCATAGATCATGTGGTATAACCTTTATATAACTTTCATATGGTCTATAATAGGTACCTCACATATATAAAATACATGTGACCCTCATTCCCAACCATCCGATCAGACTGGGATAGCCTCAGTCGCTATGTCACCCCTATTAGTATTTTTTTTATTTTTTTCTTTAAAAATTAATGTTAATTAAATTAGAAAAATATTGATGCAAAATGACCAAAATACTCTTATAACATGCATATATATTTTTGCTATTTTAATTTAACAATTTTAAAAAAAAAAATGTATGCCCCACATATCATTTCGAAATGATTTGTATGAAGAAATAAATCATAAAACAATATTGGCTTGCAGTATTGTGCCTAAAATCTTATTCCATTTGTCAATTTACATCAGACGACTTTAGTATTTTTTGAAGTAGGTGTGTCCCCCGAATTGATTTAAATGGAGAAGAACGCTACATGACAATAGAGCTTTATCATTTGTACATGGAGGTCACAATCATTTTTGTCCCTTAAATTTCAAAATGGGTGGTTGTAAGAGTTCGTTGAATTAGCACAAAGTTCCCAAAAAAATATTCTCAGACTTCGTGGCTCATTCTAAGCCATCTAAATGGACATCCAATGAGTGACAAATAATTGTGATCTCCATGTACAAAAGACAGCCTCTTTGTAGACAATCCCTTATCAGGTATAGCATGCTGATCTAAGGGTATCTGCTAACTCCATCAAGCAAAAGAGGCACTAGAGAGTGTTTTTTATGTTTAAATTTTGGGTTCCATCTAAAACTAACCTTCAAACAAAAAGAACGGGTTTTTGTGCTAAAACATTTTCATCTTGTCATTCAAAAATTGGACTGCCCCTATTCAATTTTGAGGCATTACTTTGTATGCGATTTGATTTTTTTTATTTTTTTCTTTTGTGCTTGATCAATAGGTTCAAGAGGTTACATCCCTAAAATTTGGATCCTAAAATACTCCTAGCTTTGCCGAGGGACTGAATGAACAGTGTGCTCCCACGATTGTAGAAATCATTTCACATAGATTTTAACTCCTTAAAAGGGTTTTCGGCATATGGATAGCATACCTTGTTTAAAAGTTTGTCATTTCCATTTTGAATAAGTTTGTTAGATTTTTGTTAGATTAAACGGTTTTTCTTTGGCAATGTCGTTTGTTGCTCTCTAATCTTAATCTTCACGGTTTGACGGTTAGTTGAAGTTAATCTTTGTAGAACTTACAAAGATTTTATTGGTGCGAAATTGTCGATTTTTTAATCATCATATGAGTATTTTCAACAAAAAAAAAAAAAGAATTGGATCTTGACTTCTTAAACAGTTATAACTTTTCAAATTTGAGCCATGTTTTAATCTTTGAAAACTATTTTTTTTCATGAAAAAATATGCAATACGATCATTTACTTTTGATATAAGGAGGTAGCAATTGTTGTTGACCATTGAATATAAAATTGGTTTGCTAGGTATATACCATTAACAAGGTAGCAATTGTTGTTGACCATTGAATGTAAATTTGGTTTGCTAGGTATATACCATTAACAAAGCACAAAGTCCAAAATAAAAATTCTTGTATTTTGTTACACACGTCAAGCCGTCGAATTTCAACAGTAAGAAGTGATTGTGACCTTGTACCAAATGTAAATAATCATATAAATACAATCCATTTTCTTCAAACGCATATACATTTCCCATTCAACAGTAAGAAGTGATTGTGACCTTGTACCAAATGAGAATAGTTATATAAATACAATCCGTTTTCTTCAAGCGCATATACATTTGCCCTTTGTTGGCTAAGAATAAATGTATGTGCTCCATTATTAATCCTTAGGGTGTGGTTAACCTTAAACCATCCAATTATGGAGCACCTTCAAATTTTATCATAATATATAATTTTGGAATAATTTTTTTTTTAAAATTATCTTAAAATCTATTTTCATATCTAATTATAAAATTTTAAACTCAAAATCAAGTAAATTTATAAACATATGAAAATCTTGAAAATGGACGGTCTAAATAGCATGTTACAAAATACACTATTTTTGGGACTCAAAATCTTTTTCCTTTTTCAGATTCATACATCTCGAGGTCGAAAAGATCAATTAGAGGGCATTTTTAAGATACATCTTTAATTCTACATTTTAAAGTTGCAACCTTATATAAACTTTTTCCTAATCCTTATAATATAACTTGAGATTCTTTATTAGCTCCAAAAAGGTCAAATTAGAAATGCATATATTCTTTGGCTCTAATATAACTTTAGATTCTTGCTCCAAAAAGGTCAAATCAGAAGATGCATATATTCCTTTGACATCTTTTTCTGCTTTTTCTCCACCACATTCAAAACCCTTCCATGCGCACATGTTTCATAGTGATTTTAGGGAAAGCATCATTTAAGATATCCCCAAAAAAATCCCAACTAAAATAGAGAGTATTAAGAAGTCATAATTACTTACAACCGATGATCCGAACTAAAATAGAGAGTATTAAGAAGTCATAATTCCTAGGGAAAGTATCATTTAAGATATCCTTAAAAAGATCCCAACTAAAATAGAAAGTATTAGGAAGTTATAATTACTTACAACCATCTGATGTAAAATACAATAGCTTGGATGTATCATAAAGTTTGAAAAAAATTCTTTTGAACTTTGAATTTGGTCAATAAAATAAATACAGCCACCTAATTTTACATTCAATAGTCAATTAATTACGATCTCCTCGTACCAAAAATAAGTGATCTTATTGTATGTTTTCCCATTATTATTATATGCTTTCCTATTAAAATTGATCGATTTACTTGGTGCTAGTAGTGGTAGTTAAAATTACTCGATTTACTTGGTGCAAGTAATAGTGGGTGCCATGGCGATTGCGACAACGCTGGCAAATTTGGTGAGAGCTTTCATGTCTGGCTAATGCTTTGACCCAAAAAAGTGCTTCACTCTCTTCTACAGGTGCCTCACAATATAATTTCTTTGTTGTGAATCGGATGATTGTAATTTTCTGCTATAGCAATAGAAGTTTTTGAATATTGTCACCCAAAAAAAAAAAAAAATCGATTTGAATCATCTATTTCATTTCCTTTAGATACCCATTCAAAATCTCTCTTTAAAATTTTTTTAAATGCCCCTCTTCATTGTTGCTTTAAATAGGTGCAATAATTTTAAGAGTATTTTCATGTTCTTACCATTTGGTTAAGCCCACCAAAATACCTTTGTTTGTTCAAAGTTAACCAAAATACGCATTGTTTGTTCAAAGTTAACCAAAATACCCATTGTTTGTTCAAGGTTGGCAACATAAAACGATAGCTATTTTGGCATTTCCTAAGATCTTATTTGAAAAAGTACTTGTGTGAGATTAAAATTAAGAAAATAAACCCATTAATATTAATTGGGGCCCTTTTTTTTTTTAAGGTAACCAAAAACCACTAGAATATCAATCACAATTGGGGCACTTTTACTTCCGTGATGATTTTGTAAAAAGCTACATCCATTTTCCTTAAATTTTATTTTATAAGATTATCACAAGTATTAAAATAATCCACCATACAAATATTATACTTCATATAATTTACAAGTTTTAAAATAATCCATGACACAAATATTATACTTCATATAATTTACTAGTATTGAGGCACTCATACCCAACACGTACTGTCTACTCGTACCCAATACGCACTACTGGAGAGAGTTAATGAAACCATAAAAGTTGGCGCCATCTCAT